TAAAATCCGTAAATGCTTTGTTGTCATCGGTTTTGATCTGATTTGGGGTTTTGATTTTGGTCATTGATTTGTTTAGTTTGAGTTTGTTTTTGAAGTTGGTTGTTTACTCTCTTTAACTTCTAAGTTGTTTCACTTGGATGCAAGCAACAAGCATAATTCTGAACCCCAGTGATTGACATTTGGTCCTAAAAAGTTGTTTGCTCGATAATAGCGCCCGGTAAACTTCAATAGTAGGTGGATCTTAAAACTGACAGAATCAATGTGATCTCATAGGGTATTCATAATCAAGACGATAAATTGTAAATAAGCGACTGCGTCATGCCGTCCATAGCATTGTGTAAATACCTCTACGTGTCCTGTCAGATCATCTGGGCTTTCATGGGGATATACGTCAAGTGAATGTCCAGGCACTTTCTGGTTTTACGTCGGCAAATCGTCAATGGGATCATGGTGATGTTACGCGCGTTCTGTCATCTCGTTGGTATCTCCACTAGCACTAACACGTGCTGGTTCCCAGTGGTCCATCATTAGCTCATATAGGCTAACCTTGTTCTTGTCAGGATTTGAGTGATGAAAGGCTTACGATTTGACTTCTTTCCATTTAACACTCAACGGAACAGTCTCTTGACGGGACCTAGCCGACAAAGACACGTGCCCCGGCATCCACCCATGTCATTTTCAGCACAACACGTCGATCAGCGGAAGTTAGAGTTAAAATACCAGAGCCACGATGCACGGTTACTTGGGGACTTCAAATCTCCCTGACAACTCCCTTTACGTCTGTGTACGGGGCAGGTCGGGCACGGCCTGCAAGCGTGCCTTCCGACTTCAAGATCATTTTTCATTTCTCCCGGGTGCTATTGATTCATCTTTAGCATGCACTTTACATAAGCGGCTATGGATCCAGGGGGTCCCAAGGGAGCCCACCGCGTTGTTTTGGCGGGCATCTCGCGAGAGATAGCGAATGCACGCTTTGGTTAAAAACATTAAAAAAGTAGAATTTTGATGGCGAGTTGAAGTGATCACCACCTCGTAGCGTCTTAATTGGGGTATTTCGTCCCGTTGGCTACATTGCATCTCTTGCTTCATAAAGGAGATTGAGAGGACATAATTTTCAGCGAGAAGAATATTGCGTTTGAAACTTCACACTCAGACTAAAGGAATGCACAGGACCTATGGTCATTAGAACGATTGACTGAACCTTACATGCTACGGTCGATTGCTAACACGCTGTAAGTCCTTATCTTTCGCAGCAGAACGCCCGGCACTGACCTTTTCTAACGATATTATAACTTTAACGGCATCTTGAATCTTAACACTGAGATCGATGAATCCCTTGTTAAAAGGCCATCTGTCTTTCCGTTCGGCTGAGCTAAGAAATCTGCTGAAACGCCGAGCGTTGGCTGTTAGAGGCTTTCGAGCTGGTGTAAAATTTTAAGATGAAGTGGTGCGTAGGCAGGGAGTACATATCTTGGGTTTAAAGTCATGAAGTAACGTCACTTCATTTATAAAATAACCAAATGCAAAGGGTTTTCCGTTGTTTTTCGAAAGCTTTCTGGAGGTACGCACAATTGTGGACTTTGACGGACCGGTAGGCCTACTCTGTCTTTGGAGTCTTTGAACTAAACTGATCAAATTTTGGAAGGATGGATCACGGTGATTTCTATAATTATCGAAACCTGAATGCAATGTTGTATTCCATGCATTTTTTTGAGTGAGTTTATATGGTTGTACAAGGAATGGGCTGATTTGCAATTGCAAATGGCGTCCCTTTTTTCTAAATGATAGATGTATTTAGGATAAAACATGAATTCCATACAGAGGTTTTGAGCGAGGTACTGCCTTGAAGGACCCCACGCCCCTATTAACTTTAGGCTCATATCATTGATTTTGAAGTTAAGAATCTTTCAGAGTTGTGATTTTGGGCTATTGGAGAAAGGCACTCAATTAAACAAAATAGGCCGTTTTCACTTTCACATTTTTTCACATTCGGAATCCGAACTTGTTAAGCGTTGCATGTGCGAAGAAAATGCGAATCTATTAAAGTGACACTATTATGTACAATTTTTGTTTGCATATGTTGATGTTTAATTGCTTATGCGTGTGTTCAATGCTGGTTTAGGGTATTTTGTCAATCTTATCTCGAGAGCAATTTGGTTATTAAATATTAAATGAACATGATTAAACTTTGATAAAACTTTGAAGGATGTTTTCAGCCGCTAAGACAATTTTGTTTTCTCACTTTCAAGTACCAGTATGTCTGCTGTTCCATTTAACGGTGTTACTGCTACTTGGCGCCATTGTAATTTTTTCATCTTTGTGTGCAGGACCCCCAACCCTGCTCAACATCACATGGCCGTAGAAGTGGGTTTTCAGTGAAAAAAATTGTCAAAAATGACATTTTGGAAAAAATGACAAACATAATGATTTCCAGGAGTATTAAATGCAATTTTTAAAGCGGAGCCATTACTCCATTATTTCTCTTATTTATTTCTATCCGGATGTTGATAAGGATTTGATTACTCACTTTGAAGGTCACGAACCCCCCCTCGTATGCGTCCCGTTCGGACCGAAAGAGGTCGCTGTGTTGTCTTATGACGACTCTTGAGGACACATTTATACATGGTACGCAAGTTGAAGTAAGGAACACAGACCGCATGTCCCTACAAGTTCAAGATATGGTCTCCCTGTCGATCATTTAAAAACAACAGTCATAATAAATACCCTTTTATAGTTACAGTAATCGTTCGTAATAAATTACTTTGTGAACTTCTTGTGCTCCACGATATTGACCTGTGCTTTACGAGATATTAGTTGCAAGAATTCACAAAACTCAGTGCGTCATCAGTATGAACCGTTAGTTTGCAACATTATCCTCATAAGGCTGGCCACAGGGGTCAATTTTGACTCCATCGTGTCTCGGTTTCCTTCTAAGAAATGGTGCAGTGCACCTCGACTCCTATCTCGGCAGCAGCTTAGATACAGTGAAATCAAACTCACTGTGGGAAGCAGCGTAACTCCATAAAATGCCGTTTGTGGACACAGCCGCTGGGAAAGTGTAATTTCTGTTAGCAAAGGGCTAGTCAGCGTTGACACAGCAATTTGAAATCTTCTTAACCCCCTTCATGATGGCTTGGCAAGAAGACGGATGGTCGTTGGACGTGGCGACGGGCTTTCAAGGCATTTGCGTTGTCTGGGAGGCCACAGCCGAGGGGAAAAACTCCAATATTGCGGCGCCTTCTGGTCATCTGCACTTACCCCTTATCGTATCTCGCTGGCAAGAAATGCATGTATTCTGTTTATGAGGTTGAGAAAAATGAATTATGGGTGGTCAAATACGTTAAGAGAGTACTGGCAGAAAAATAATATCAGTGTCAAACAGCGTATTCTTGGAAAGGTTTACAGGTCTTCGGAAAGTGCGAAATGTCAATCGTGAACAGGCGCTGTGTTCGTGCCAACCTGCTGTGGCAATGATTAATGTATTCACATCAATTTCACAAGTAATGTTTTACTTAAGTGACTTGGTATATATTCGTAATATAGTGCCGAATACCACTTGAAATTCGTCTGTCCGTCTCTGACGAATGTCTGACTCTTCGTGAAAGTGCTGTGAGCATCATGTGTCCACAGAAAACACCGCCCTCAACGAAATTCATTCACACACGTCGGTCAGGGCAAATCCAAAATTAATTTACATCTCCCCGGCGAAATTACATCTTTGAAAGAAATTCATTCTGTCTAATAATACCAACAGTAGTCTTACGAGAAATGTTCATTAAAATAACATTATTAAAATCACTCTAAGAAAGAATGAACAAATAATACAATAATTCCAGACTGTACTATACCGCGAAAACATCAGGTCTACCAATGCTAGAATGAAGGGATCAATTCCAATGAGATGTCCTACCTAGTGTTTGTAATGACGATAATTATTATACCATCCTCTCGTAGGAGTCAATATTGAATCACTCGTCCGATGTGGTTCAGGTGCTTTTTTTAAGCCTCCGTGACTGCGCCGTATTTATTCTTCCATTAATTCCACCTTCCTACATCACCGTGGTTGTTGGGGGATTCTGAGCCTGAGACGACTATACCTGACCCTTATTTCATTCTAAGAGGGTACTTTGGCATTAAATGGCTGTTCTTATCAACATTGCCACTTAGGGCTTTGGGATGGTGCACCATCGGCGCCAGTTGAGAGGCGGGCAAACGGGGATTTTACTGAAACGATTGCTGAAATTATTTCATCTGTTAGAGAATCGTCCCCTCCCAAGGAAGGTACGAGTAACGTTTCTTGCATGTCGGTGCTTAAATTCCTTTAATGACAGCATATCTCTGGGCAAGTTTCCCCACCCCTTCTGAATTGGATGCACTAGAGGACACTCCCCCTGCTGTGTGCTTCTTCGCTTGCGCCCGCTCCTTAATTAGTGAGTGCTACCTTCTAGAAAATGGCGTCGCGCTCACGCTGTTCAAAATTTGCCTTACTGTTGCACAAGTAATTTAGTCATTTACTCCATTAATTTTTAATATCTGTGAAGATCCTTAGCATTAACAAGGCTCACTACTCGGTCGCTCCTTTTCTTTTTCAAAAGAAAAAAGATTGTAGGCCGGTACGTTTATTGAAGACCTCAGATCTTCCTACTGTTTTTATTTTGATGTCGCTACCACATCGCAATGTTAACTTATGTAGGTGCAGTGTCTTGTATTTTTCAAAGCCAAATCAAAAAAGACGTGTTCGTGTTCTTGGTAACCAATTTTATTCTCTCAATCCATAAATTTTTCATCATTTTCACGATCGTCCAAACTTGGTGTGGTCTTCTAAACCATCCCCGAAAAGTTTGGTCGGGAAAGCGTAAACTGGCTAATTCTGTGAACGTTCAAAATGGAGCCCACAGTCGAAACGGTACATTTACTCTGAATAGCGCCCTCTGATGTCGTACTAGCCTCTCTCTCGCGTGTACGTATCGCGTGCAGCTGGCCGTCTGATTATTGTTGACTTAAGCTTGCTGGCGGGGACGCACTCAGAGCTTCAACTAGCCAGAGAAATCAGGTTGTTGTAACCGTTGATGGGCAGAAATCTCGGCCTGCAGTCGGACTAATCCTGGGGAGGGGGCTGGCTCGTGTGTGTTACTGGGTGTGTGTACCAGTGCGGCGCTGAAATGAAGTGTTGTTGATGATCGGACATATCGTCTGCGAGAATCACTTTGTTGAAGTCGCGCCGTGAGGCACGCGGCGTGTTACAGAATCGTCTCTCCGCCCATCAACCTGCCCCGTATGCCGACGAAACAGCTGAACTGAAGTATCTCTTCTCAGTAACTCATGAAAAAACTCGAAAGTTAATTTGAGCCAAACTCTTCTGGAAAAATGCAAATTGACTGGGTAACTTCTGGAGAGCTGTTTTGGATGAACGTAGAAGCAGGTACCGTTTGCCGTTCTTGACTTAAGTGAGTAGGCCGTACCGTTGTCATGGCTTCGGGTGCCAGTAGTGGAGATGATCACGGACCTACCGCCGAGGAAGTCAAGAGTTTCAAGGACAAGGTAACTAGCTACCGCAGCTGGTGGCCCGGAATTTTGTTTGGTTTGGCATTTTAAAGACGAAAATTCATTTGGAGTTGCCATCAATTTGCAAAGTTTGCTTTCAAACTGACTGACTCATGCAGGGTATTTGAAGTAAAAACTTCAAACCTACTGTTTACAACAATTTTAATATTGAAACTTTTTTTACTAGCATTAACCATTTTGAGTAAAATTCATCGGGAGTTTTCAAGCAACAGCTTGTAACATTTCAAATGACAAACCTGAACATAGTTGAGATACCAGTTCATTTCAAATACATGTAATTCATTTTGTTTGAGAAAGGGGGTCTTTTGGGACAGTTTTATCAAGCAAACTTTGAAGAGACTTTGTAGAAATTTGCAAGAGAGCTTGACTCACTTTGAACCAACAGGTGTGTTAACATTGAGATTGATTTTTATACAGGAGTAAAATCCCAATGCTTCAGACAAAGAGCTATTACGAAAATTTTAAGAATTCTCTACCTTTCTAAACAAGTAATAATTGTATAATTAATGCAGTATCCGCAGACACAAGGACAGATCCAGAACCATATTTTTGGGTTTCAAATTGAGAATTTTTTCATGGAACTGTTCATGGCATTTCCTAGGGATGAGGCTGCATTATGGGCTTTTTACATGGTTTTTGAAGAAAGAGAAATCAAATATAACGATGCCCCCACCCCTTCCTCCCGATCCGCCCTTGTACAGATGTAGAGATGTTCATCTTCAGTTCTATTTCCTGCTTTTCAATTGCCCATAGTGGTTCACATGTTACAGTTTTGAAAAATGTATGTTTAACTGTAAAGTTATTTATAATTTAATTAGCTATACCTAATGTTTGTTGACCAATTATTTTAAGAGAACTCTGAGCCGATCTGTGAAAAGAAAAAGTCAACCATTTATATGAGCTTAAAAGTTACATAGGTACAGTACAGTAACGAGAAGACTGACAGTCAATGAAGAATGGTTATGTACTTATTCAACATGCACATATGTATTTAGCAAATGTCCCCCAAACTAAAAGTGTAAGTGTGCAAACAGGTGTGGCGCTGTGCCTGAATATTCCAGACAACCACCCCAAGCTTCAAAAAGATCAAGGAATTCTTTCAACGAAGAGAGGGGACAAAATTTGCCAGGGGGGTCCGGGGGAAGGCCAAACTCATCATTTTAAGAAGATAAAAATAGAGGTACTTGAAGGATTCCAGCACCAGGCCACCTTGAATGGCTTCCCTTGTAAATGTCTGCCCGAAAATGACCTGGCCTCCCTGGCAGTAACTGCAGGAAGTAGACTGGTCATCAGAGGTGTTTTTCTCTTTTTTGCCGTTGGTTTGTCAAAATAGTTTGGCCTCATTACTTGTGGCAGGTATTGTGCCCAAACAGGTCAGCAAATTCTTCAATGAAGAGGCTTCCTTTTCTGTCCACAGATTTCATGGTTTGGATTTTTCACCTTCTATAAATCACTGGGGTTTCTTATACTTTTAACAGGTGTTGGCTGGGATTTCATGAGTGGACAAGTTATTGTCAATAAGAATAGAAGCCAGAGTTTCTGCTGCAAAACATGCAGGTGTGTCTGTGAAAGGATGGCACACTCTGCCAAGTAAATGTAACATGGAGCATTGAAAACCTCGAACTGTTGTTGGCTTCAATTTACCAAGCAGGGTCCTTGCTTTGCAATAACTGTCCATCCTCTGTGCTTACAGTATTCAAAATTATACCATGGAATGTAACTGCACAGGTTGGGCGGATTTGTTTATAAAGAAGGGTGGACTTCAAAATGACACTTCTCAGTAGGATAGGTGGTTATTGGGGGAGGGGGAATAAGAATTTGAAGAAGGGAGGGGCCACGTAGATCAATAAAAAAAAATTGTCTTTGTAAAGGCTTCGTACACGGAAGCTGTACTCCAAGCTGGCAGCTTGTTCTGGTGAGCTTAGTGACGTTGCAGTGATTTAGGAGCTACTTGAATTGACAATGCACTTTGATAATCTGTTTGGAAGACAGTACACAGAAAATTCATCAGTCAAGAGCCCTGCAGTTGTAGTCCCCGAAGGCTGAAGCAAAATCCTGACAGTCTCCTTTCTTCAAAGTTACAGTGCTCTTTGCAATGTTTATTTGAACATCCAATTTTTTGTGGAGTCCACAAAGTTTGAAGTCTAATTATTGTGGAAACAAATGTGTCAGGACAAATTCCACCATCGATATGACAATAATTGTACCTGTACATACATGCATTTCGTAAAGAACTATACAGCTAGGATTAAACAGCTACTATACATGTTCAGTACACCTCTGAGTCAACTTCGGCATAAAAAGCTGGATCAGGATTAACCGAGTTTTTCTTAATTCTTGCCGGGAATGTGTCTCCCACCATGATGAACTAGCTTGAACTGTTGACACAATAGATGTTTGTCACAAGTCATTAAACAAGGGGCTGGGTATGTAAGGTTTCCCAAGCAGCCCTAGACCTTAATTTCCTCTCCTTAGATTCTGGTATCACCCTGGCTGTTTGTGTTGCCTCAAGCACCTGGCTACGTACATGTGAATCATGTAGAGGCATAATAGAGTTGGGTATTTCTGTGTGTGGAGAAAAAAGTTCCTTGTGAATTTCTGCTGATTTTTGCTGATAGGAGACATTCAGATCTTCTGATATGGACCCACACAATTTGGAAATCTTATTGTTTTGATGTATTTTTGGCAAACTCAAGAGTGAATGGATTTCAGGCTACAGATAGGTCTCTGTTGATGTTTTACCTTTTGGCATTTAACACTGATTCTGTGGACTTTGTCTAACCTTTCTCAGAAACAGCAAACTACACTTTTACATTGTCATGATCATGTTGTCACATCAAGGGTCAGTGTACAGCTAGTGCTTAAGATACAGTAGACTTGACATGCACTCTACAGTATGACAGCGTGGTAAACACTTGGTTTCTGTTGTTCCATCACTATAGTGGATGTTCAGTTGCATGATTTTTGACTGTCAGCGTTCAATTTACACAGACGTGCGTGGAAACGCATGCACCTTCAAAGTCTCTTAACATTCTGGTGTACATGAAATTGCCAGTAGAAATACTCAGATTTAAAACTGTGCGAGTCTCAATGGACGTAGTATGCTTCCTGAAATGCCTTTGCCCGTCATTTTATGTCATGTGAAAAGATTTATTTCAGGAAATTAACTTGCTAAATTAGAGCACCCTTTGTTGTACACACTACTCACCATGTCATGGGCATTGCCAGAAGTTTTTTTTGGGGGGGAGGGCAAACCACTTTTTTCCTGGGGGAAATTTCTAGGGGAGGGAGTGGGGAAGCACTTATAAAAAGTTATATGCTTAAAACTGATAAATAACTGTGTGTGTGAGGGTTTTGAAGCAAATTTGTAATTTTCATTACCATTCTCTCTTATTTTATTTCTGTTGCTTCCCCGTTTTTGTTTTTTATTTTTCATTTTTTAGGAGGAGGGAGCGGGATTATCGGTGTTTAAATGAAAAGGAATAGTTTAGGATATTTTCATAAAAAATCCAGCTTGAAGGAGTTATTTTAATGTAAGTAAAAGAAATATTTTCCCTGAATTTACTTAACTACAGAAAAACAAGGGAATGCCCACACCACAGTAGGTATGGTGTATTTAGAAACAATCGTTTATGCTGGCTGTGTCAAAATGTTAGGCTAAGACAGGATCCCGCAGAAGCTTCACTCTTTGCTGTTGTTAGATTCTGGAAGATTTGGGATATGTGTTGGTACAAACACAAATTACTTGATCTGACAAATTATTTGTATTTTTTTTTACTAATTGTCCTTCGTAACACAGTTGGAAGAAATGTATAAACCTACAGTGAATGCAGCGGGATATAGCCCAGCACCCAGTAGACAGCAAGCGGAATTGCGTGATAAAGACGTTATGATGCAGAGGATGCAGCAAGGCATAGCACCCGAAGGTGCCGTTCTACATGGCTTAGCAGCGGCCGCGTCACTGCAGGATGCTGTCATGGCTAGCCACTCTGGGAGGGGTCAAGTCGGGGTGTGGTGTGAGAGGTGCAATAGTCGTCTTGTGGAGCTCAAGAAGCAAGCCCTACGACTTATGATCATGCATCCAGGTCTCATCCGCCTTGCCATGAAGGTAAGTCTGATTGCAACGAATCAAGAAGCATCTCAACCTTGTTCAGTTTTTGCACCCTTCTTGTTTCAATTGTTGAAGTCTTTCAGAGGATCTAGCAATACTGAGGACAAAGAAGAAGACTGTAGTATGAGAAAAGAGAGAATCTGCGCCGAGCAATGGGGGAGTGTTTTTTTGGTACTTACTGCATAGGTGCGCCATGAGGCGCGCGAGTATATGTGCGTGTGACGCAGAGCACGCTGAGTACGCGTAACTAATTTACTCCGGCATGTATGGTCTTTGTGTACATGCAGAATGTGTTCAAGAGCCCGCTTGTAACCACCTGCCTTTCTTTTCGCTGATTGGGGGTGCACTTCATCTCGGGGCGGATACAGAATCCCTTTTCCCTTCCTTTTTCCAAGCATCCTTTGCTTCCCTTTGCTTGTTTTGCTATTCATTTGAAACTGTCTTGAACTCTGATACACAGGAGGTGATACTTGCTTGGTACTCCGTTTGTTCTCTTTGGTTACCCGTTGGTAAATAGTGATAACATACACAAGTTTTATTTTGCTATTAGTTGCCATGGTGACTAATGTAACCGAATCCATGCTTTTCCCACCGATGGCGTTCAGTCTAATCTACTGTCTGTCTTGGGAATCCTAGAGACCACCTAAATCAACCATCCTGGTGAAGAAAACTGGCTCAATAAATGTAAAAAGTGCTTTGATTTTGTTCCATATATACAAATACACGATAACCTTCGCAGTTGTCACTTTCCATTTGCCTCATGTGAGACAAAAATACAATCACATTCCTTCCAAGGATGGAGCGATTCTGAGTCCCCACTGTACATCTCCTTCCGCTCTATGCAGTTTAATGGTAGGATAATTTGAAGAAAACAAAATGACAAACGATTGCAACTGCGATTTGAGACAACGGTGATTTTGGTCCGAATCTATCAGGACAGACGGTAGGATAGTGTAGGGACCAAATACTGAATATGTTGTGTTTTCTGAAAAAGGAAAGGAAAAAATATTTGAGAATGTGCTTTGCTAGGCAGACATATTTACCCTTTCATGTACATGTACAGTATGCATATTCAGTGCTTGAGTACAGGTCTGTATGTCTTTGGATGCAATCTTTTTTTTTTATGTAAAACTATTTTTGTTTGAATTGTACATGTAAACATTGGAATTTGGATATTTCATTTACTATATGAACACATACATGTATAAATACAGTACATGTAGATCAAATATCATTGAAGAAAATGTCTTTTATTGTGGAATTAAAAATCCTTACTATTTGGTGGGAGCATTTGTTTTCCCATGGCAGAGGGTTTTTCTTCTAGAAATCTAGTGATTCAACTTTGCTGATCTCAGTCCTGTTGATTTGGCCCATTTTCCCTCATGATTAAGAGTGGCCTACAGACCTCAGTACACTGCATGCGGCCATTTAAATTTGGATAAATTGAAAACCAGAATGCCCGTGTCATCATGAAATGCACTCATTTATCGTCCAGCGAGCCTCACTTTTCGTTTGTCTGATTTGACAAGATAATATGTACAGCTCCCCGACAGTGGGTCTACTGTATCTCTATGACTTGGCCTGAAATTTTCTTGTTAAATACCTGCAGTTTTTAAGTGGGTTTTTATTGTTTATTAGATTTAATGGTGTCTCAGGAGAATCAAAATTAATGGTCAGTGGAGCCGAGGGGTTAATTTTTAATCAGAATTCTACTCAAGTTGATGAAAAAGCAAGAGTAATTTTAGCCTTATCTTACAGTGTCGCTAAGATAACAGGGAACAAGGAAGCATATTTTGGTCTCTGGGTAACCATTCAGTTTGACCTTACCTTTGATCAACAATTACTCATAGCAGTATTCAAAGATGTAGGCCAACTACCGGTACTGATCTGAAAACAGTGTCCAACCTTACAATAACTGATTTATGGTCTAACGTCTGTAGTTTTCATTGTTACGTTTTAAAAAAACCTTTCAATCCAACTCATTTGTAGTAAATGTCAGCAACGAGAGTTGATCTACCAAAAAGTCTAATGCAGTTCAGAGCTCGTGGTTTAGTCAACTCTGAAAAAAAAGAAAAGAAAAAAAAAGAAGCAGAAGAATAGGAAGAAATGGAGCACTTCTAATAAAACCTGAAGTGCCCTCGTCACTGGAATCGTTTTACCCCACTTTTAGTTTCCACAAGAAATCGCCCGTGGATATAATTATATTTGTGTTGGTCCATACCTGCTGGAGTTACCTGGGAATCAATCAACCTTGCTTCCACAGCCAAACACCCAGGATGCTTAAATCTCGATACCGTTATTGGAAATTGGACGCTCGGATTATGACATGTGCCTCCTGGCCACCTTTTTTCCATGGATTTTTAATCTCCCTTCCACATCCAAACTGGAAATTCCAGGGGTAATTTTAAGCTAATTTGTACTGAAAACGGTACACCTTCAGCCCGGGAGGCAAGGTAAGAGAAATAATTGTTCAGGTGAAGAGCGCTTCCACTCACAAGTTGCCACATGTACCTTGGTTGAGTCGGGCAAATTCCATTAGAGCCCAGGCCATCTCAAACTTCAGCCCCTATTAAGGCCAGGAACCTATTACATATCCTTGTGTTTACCTTGATTATTTACTCCTGCACTCATTAGGGCACTCAGTGCAAGCAAATTGTAAATCCTGGCCCACCTTACTGTAACTGTATTATTTTTGTGACCATTACTAAGCAAACCAGCTCCATTGTTTGTCATTGTACAGGGTAGGTTTATGGTATCACTGGGCTGTTCAAGAACATGGAGCTTGTCTTGGGCCAACACTGTTTGCTAGTGACACGATTCCTTTAATAATCAAGATTGCTGTACTTATTGACACAGGTGTATTTAGCTGGTGTTCGTGTAGGGGCTGAGCAAGCAAGGCCCAGACCATACAACACACTGGCTAAACAAGACTTTTGATTCAGTTGTCATGAGCAGGCACACATATTAACAATCATAGTAATAACAGGAATGTTTAAATTACACTGTGATCCCCTGGTTGCTGTAAGATCAGGACAGTGTAATTCTCAAGATTCTGATGGATGTGCAGGTACATGTAGTCAATCCTAGAATTAACTCAATTGCACTGGATACTTGCATCCAAATCATTAACTTGAACCATTCTGAACCCAAGCACATGCATGATTTCAATGGACCTTAGGTGGTTAGGGCTAGAGATACTGTAGTTATGCTTGGTAATTTCTATTGCTTATTTCTCTCTCCAGTTTTGTTGAGCTACCCAAGTACATGTATCTCTTCCTAGCTGGCCAAATGATTTGAAATTAATGAGGCTGTGCATACCATGTAATAGGCCCCATACCTTTTGCACGTACGCATTGATATATTTGTGAGCACAGAGTAAATTATGATACATGTATTCATGTTGTGACTGTCCACCCACTCGTGTTAAGTTCAGATTCACATTTTGTCTTGAGCACAAACAAGCCTCCTTACTATACTGCAACTGCACTAGGCTCTGCCTGATCACAGGAAATTCCAATTGATGAATTACATTTCCTGAAATAAAAAATAAATTATTGAAACTGTATTGTCCAGATCAGCATGCAGATGATGTACATGTGAAGTTACGTAAAGTTCATATAGTGATGAAACCCTCTTTTACTTTCTGTGCATTGTTTAAAGAGAAGCTCCCCATTTTATGCTTAAGCCTGACCTAGTAAAATTCAATGTGATTAATAATTACAAAATATATTCCATACAGGTACAGCTGGGTACACATGTCAAAATGTAAATGGCCTTGGATTAATAGTCTGTTTGAAGTGTTTTAGTTTATATGTGCTTAAGTTTGGAAGGACAGATCTGAAACCGTACCAGTCCATGTCTATCACTCATTTCATCAAAGATATTGTTCCCTCCCCCAAACACCGTGAACTTCTTAAAAACCATAGAGGTTTTTTAGTCTTCATTTTCATGATGCACTCAAATTTAATTAAATTTTCAGGACTATCCCCCTGTTGTTGACAGAGTTCTTTTTGGGGAGGTATCAAGGCAGGCCATTGTGCAACGGTGAGCGGAGAATGACTCAACTGTTGACAATTTCTCCTCCGAGCATGTAAAAAAAGGGAAATAACTCGGGTCCCATGATCTCGGTGCCATTATGGAGGCTTTGTGTTGGTGGGAGGTTGGGAATGGGGTCATTCTGAAATGGAAAAAAGCACTTAGCAACAGAAGAGAGAGTGTTCTAAAGCGGAAAAGGAACAAAAAGGGACGGTGCGTGAATAATTTCTTTGTAGACGGCATTGTTGCATTTGATTCAGAGAGATGTGTCCGATTGGTCACTCACCTTGTTATTTTTTGTGAATATTCTTTTCTTAGGTTTGTGTTGGCTGAGTGGGGACTGTGGGAGGGGTAGGGTTGTTGCCAGACAGTACTCGTTAATCAAATGGAGGCATGAGAATTTTTCCCTCACAAGTGATTTGACTACTTGTAAGTGATTCATTGGGATCGGCAAAGTTGAAGCCACAAATGAGGTTCTGCTCTCAATAGCCTGTTGCCACATAATAGCCAGTCTTGTTGAAAGCTTGTTGGAGACTTGCTGATGTGTACAATGTAGGTACACATACTGCACAGTAATCCATCATGGTTGATGGAGAAATAGGTAATAGGATGGATTGGGTTTTTTTTTTCTAAGAGTGGGGTGTGGATGGATATAAGGAGGGGCTGGCAATGTCATTGACCCATTCTGAATACTAACAGGTAAGTCTCTTTTATGCCTGTGAAATGTTTTCTGAAATGAACTGCATCTGTCGTGCGAACACTGAGTGCCCAGTGAGTCCGAAAAATAGTGGAAGTACTTCATAATTCAGTGGTCCACTTTGGAATTCCATTTCCAGAGGTTGTTGCATTTGTAGATCTTGTGTACACCGGAAAATGTCCAAAACATTTACACAAATTCCTTGGCAATTGTTCCACTCCACAAATGCTTGTACATTTGTTAGAAGTGCGGCATGTTTACGTCC